TCAGATGGCTCCATATGAGGCTTTGTATGGGAGGCGGTGTAGATCTCCAGTTGGTTGGTTTGATCCAGGTGAGGCTAGGCTATTGGGGACTGACTTGGTGTAGGATGCTTTAGAGAAGGTGAAGGTAATTCAGGAGAGGCTTCGTACAGCACAGTCGAGACAAAAGAGTTATGCTGTATTTCAGCACGGTTCAGTTGGATGATGATTTGACTTATGATGTGGAGCCAGCAGCTGACTTATGATGTGGAGCCAACAGCTATCTTGGAGTGTCAGGTTCGAAAGTTGAGATCAAAGGATATAACTTCAGTGAAAGTGCAGTGGAGAGGTTGGCCCGTGGAGGAGGCTACTAGGAGACCGAGAGAGAGATGTGGAGCAGATGTCCTCACCTATTTGAGGCTTCAGGTATGTTTCTTGACTCGTTCAAGGACGAACATTTGTTTAAGAGGGGGAGGATGTGACAACCCATCTAGTCGTCTCATGAGTTACCGCTCTGTTTTCCCCATTTCTGCTTCTTATTGCTTTGTCTATTGGTTCTATATGTGATCGGGTTGGTTGTCTCGGGTTCGAAAAGGATTTGGTAAGGCTTGAGACACTTAGTCTCTTTTGAGGAAGCTTAAGTTGAAAAAGTTAAGTGGATGTTGACTTATATGTTAAAGGGCTCGGATATGAGTTCTGATGGTTCAGATAACTTTGGGAGGTGATTTGGGACTTAGGAGCGTGATCGGAATGTGTTTTGGAGGTCCGGAGTAGATTTAGGATTGAATTGACAAAATTGGATTTTTGGCATTTTTCGGTTGATAGGTGAGATTTTGATATAAGAGTTGTAATGGAATTCCGAGAGTTGCAATAGTTCCGTTGTGTCATTTGGGATGTGTGTGCAAAATTTTCGATCATTCGGACGTGGTTTGGTTGGGTTTTTTTATCAAAATCATAATTTAGAAGATTTTGAAATTCTTAGGCTTGAATCCGATGCGAATTTGGTGTTTTGATGTTGTTTTGAGCGTTCTGAAGATTGGAGCAAGTTTGAATGATGTTATATATGTTGGCATGTTTGGTTGAGTTCCTGGGGGCCTCAGGTGAGTTTCAGGTGGTCAATCGGACCATTTCATGTTGTTGAGAATTGCAGAAAATTGCTGATCAGCGTTGCAGAGAAATGGCCTTCGCGTTCGCGAGTAGGTTCGCGTTCGCGAAGAGTTAGTTGAGGAGGCAGATGATTTAGCCTTCGCGTTCGCGAGAAAGGATCCGTGTTCGCAAAGGGATGGAATGAGGGGCATCGCGTTCGCGAGGTGGAGTCGAGTTCACATAGAGGGAATTGAGCAGCTGGGTTTCAAGGTATTTTGTTCATCACGTTCGCGAGAGAGGGAGCGCGACCGCGAAGGGTCAAGCTGAGGAGCCATCGTGTTCGCGGCTGGTTGCGTTCGCGTAGAGGATTTTTCTGGTCAAAGTATGTTTGTGCTTCGCGAACGCGAGGCGTTGACCGCATTCGCGAAGAAGAAATTGAGGCATGGGCAGAATGTTTAAATAGTCATCTTGTCCGCGATTTTGGGGTTTATTTCCACCATTTTGAGCGATTTTGGACCTTTTTGAAGAGCATTGAAGAGGGATTCAAGGGGAAACTCTTGGAGGTAAGATTCATGGACTTAATACTCGATTCTAAAGTGAATTCTACCTAATTAATCATGGAAATTAAACCTAAAATTGAAGAACTAGGGCTTGAAATTGGAAACCTAGAATTTGGGATTTGAGGGGTCGTTTGTGATTGGATTTTGATGCTTTTGGTATGAATGAACTCGGGGAGTGATAAGGAGTCTATTGATGTAAATTTTATCAGAATCCGAGACGTGGGCCCGGGAGTCGGGTTTGGCCAATTTTGGGATTTGTGTTGTAATTTAATTTCTTTCGAGTGGGCTTTGTTCCTTTAGCATATTTTGATGGTTTTGCACTGATTTTTGTTAGATTTGGAGCATCCATAAGCCGATTCGAGGGGCAAAGGCATCGCAAGCTAGAGATTAGGATTAGGTAGAGGTGAGTAATGATTGTAAATATTGTCTTGAGGGTATGAAACCCCGAATTGCACATCGTTGTGCTATATTGAGGTGGCGCACACCCTAGATGACGAGCGTGAGGTCGTGCACTGTTAGGGATTGTGACTTAGTCCATCCCGAATGATTGTTTTACCGCATATTTGACTGAAAGCTATTTGCTATCATCATGTTTTGGGGTGAATGCCATATTTGGGCCTCATGCCAACTATTTGAACCCTTAGGGGATTTTTATTGATATTTCCTTACTGTTTTGACTTTATACTTGAACTCAGTCATGCTATATTCTACTGTTTTCATAACTCAGTCATGTTTACTCTGCTTTAACACATAAATGAGATTTTAAATGATATTTTGGGCTGAGCACCATGTTTTACTGTTGCCCGAGTAGCTTATGAGATTCTAACTGAGTTAGGTCGAGGGCCTGAGATTTGTACGCCGCGAGGTGGCTTGTTGATATGAGGCCGAGAGCCTAGTGATGATGCCACGAGTTGGCATGATATTGCGCTTGGGCCGTAAGGGGCTCCTCCACGAGTCTGCACACCCCTAGTGAGCACGGGTACCCATTGTGATGTGAGATATATCCCGAGGGGCTGGTTATTGTTCCATGTGTTGCCCGAGGGGCTGATTCTGTTGGTATTGTGCCCGAGGGGCATTTCTTTATGTATTTACCTTTTCTAGTTACGTGTCTTTTACTTGTTTAACTGTTTAAAAAGGGATTTTAAGAAGTTTAAACTAAACTAAAGTGACTTTGCATAATTTCACGGTTTCATGACTTTTACTGGCTTTTACTGCTTTCTTATAGCCTGTGATGTTTACGTGATTTTTTACTTCTCAGTCTTTATTTATGATTATTACTCACTGAGTTGGAGTACTCACTTTACTCCCTGCACCCGGTGTTCAGATTCAGGCGCTGCTGATCCTGCTTGCGAGGGTTGAGTGCTCCCGGTAGGGTTCGGAGTTCACGAGATAGCTGCTCTCCGTTCGCAGCCCCGTGCTTCTCCCCCTTTATCTCATTTCCTTTCTCTTGTTAGTGATTCTGTAATAGCTTGATAGACTCTTCATACTTGTAGTACATTGTTTGATGCTCATGACTAGTGACACCCAATGTCGGGCTGTGTTGGTTTTAATTCCGCAAATTGCACTATTCACTGCTTATTTTGGAATTTTATCATGTTTAAGACTAATTACTTATTATTTAATTGCTTAAAATAAAATGGGAATGTTTCGGCTCGCCTTGTCTTCACGAGAGGCGCCATCATGACCGGGTCCGAGTTTAGGGTCGTGACTGATACGAGCTGTGAACTGCCAAATTGGCGAAATACCCGCTTGGTGGCATGATGCTCCACTATATCAAGGCAGATCAATGGGACAGAAGAGCCCCACATAAGCCGGCCGGCCGAGCAATAACTGGGCAAGCCAACTATCAATACGTCGATGTATGACGTCCAGATGAACTATTAAGTAAGAACAGAAAACATCAGTATACGCAACTTGTATTTGAATCTATGAAAAGTAAACTTAGATATACATTTACCTATGCGCCATCCAGCAAATCCAAAATATCCCTGCACAAGGAGAGACTATGCTGAGCCTCGTACTCGCGCGTATGTCCCTGCCGGAGAACCCACCTCCTAGCTAGAGGGAGCAACGCTGGTGGTACACCCAGATATAATAGTGGTAGAGGTGGCTGCAATTGTAGAAACTGCTCCCAGGCCCAAACCTAACATAAAAAGTTGACGTAAAATTTAAAATACATTTTTATTAGGCATGTTAAAATGAATAGAGTATTCGAATATGTTGTCATTTGTAGTAGCGGTAAAAATCCAGCAACGTCATGCTGGGTGCCCATGCTCGCCCGACACATCTTCTTGTACAAGTAGGCGAGAACAGCAGCACCCCAACTGTACGGGGGTAAATCATCTAGATGCTCAAAATGATGAAGAAATCTCAAGCTGACTAGGTTCCCCGAAGTGTTCGGGAACAAGTCCCCTCCAAACATAAGGAGTAGCAGCAACCTTGTATACCCGCGAAGCAATCTACAAAGAATTGGAGTTCATGCTTGGCGTAATTATCAATCAGGATGTGTATATTTGGCAGTGGAAAGTCGTCCTTGGGACTTGCTCTGTTTAAGTCTCGATAGTCAACACATACTTTGACTTTTCCATATTTCTTCGGAACTGATACAATGTTGGCTAACCAGGTTGGGTATTCAACTACCTTGAGGACTTTGGCTTTGATCTGCGTACTAACTTCCTCCTTGATTTTCAGGCTCATATTTGGTTTAAATTTTCTGAGTTTCTGCTTCACCGACGGACACATGGGATTGGTAAGCAACTTGTGAGTCACTATGGACGTGCTCAAACTGGTCATGTCATCATATGACCATGCAAAGATATCCTCATACTCCTTCAAGAAACGAATGTACTCCTCCTTCTCTATCGGTGATAAGTGAATGCTTATGTGAGTCTTCTTGACGGTTTCGGCGTCTCCCAAATTTACTGCTTCAGTTTCGTCCAGGTTGGACTTAGGCTTATTTTCAAAGTTCTCAACCTCTCTGACAATCTCCTCAACTATTTCATCTTCTTCATCCGAGTCGCTATCCTTACATTGCGTTGCCTCATTACATATCACAGTCACTGGTTCATCAGGAAAAGTAATAATAACGTTGTAGAAAGAAAAGTGTGGAAGATAATAATGAATAGTAAATAGCAATGCATTGATTAAAACTGAAAACACCCAAAACAAGTACGGTTCGATGAATCGAGCAATTATTTTGAAACAAGTGATTCTTTAAAACAAAATTACTGAAAATATCTTAGATGCCTAGCATGGCTATAGAAATAAAATTAAGTTGATTGCCAAGTAATCCCGGGACTCGGCGGGCCCGGGATGGTGTGGCAGTCCAGTTCGTGAGAACAACTCCCTTCTCCACAGTCTGAATAGTGAGGCCTTCTTCCTCCTCCTCAATTATTGCACTGCAATCCATGTCTTCGTCCTCCAGGAACAGATTCCTCAGCCCAGCTAACAATTCTTCTTCTGCAGTTCCCAATATTGTATCAGCTTGGTGAAAAGTCTGACCCAGATATGGCACTAGTTGCTCGAGAGGATAATAAGATCCACGCCATGGAGGCGACCAGTCATCATACTCTTGCCATGTATACTGGTATCCGAGCCCGAAGGTAGGACCATGACGTTTTAGCTGTATTGGTTTGGTGATGCCTTGGAGATTCTTCCCAAGCCCTTTGCCGGGTTCATACCCAGACCATGCTAGTATGATTTCTATTTTGTTACTCCACCATTTGTCTTTCTCAACGGCATTGACGCGTTCGATGTGATGATAGGTTTCCCCTCCTAGCCTTCTTCTGTTCCCGATAGCTGGGATGGTTTGATTGGTGTAAATGGAGTTACTCCCGTCCTCGTGAAAGTTCACCCCCTAATGGTTACATTCGAACTTCATGGCCTGGTGTAGTGTGGAAGCCACAGCCACAGCGGCATATATCTACGGTCGGCCCAACACAAGATTTTATGAAATTGATATGTCAAGCACTTGGAATTCAGCGTCGAACCAAGTGTGCCCCATCTGCAGACAAACACTAATCTCCCCAATCATGGCCCTTTGAGACCTATCAAAGGCTTTCACGTTCATGCTTCCTGCCCGTATTTCATGGAAACCTTTGAACAATCTTTTAAGAGTATCCAACGGACAAATATAGAGTTTTGAACCTCTATCAATCAGAACTCTGGCAATGAATTTGTCTTCAAATTATACCGTGATATGCAATGCTTGGTTATGATTCAACCCTTCAGGCGGTAGTTCGTCCTCGTGGAAGATTATTTTATGACTTTCCAGCACCTGTCCTACCATGTTGGCCATCTCTCTGCAGGTGATATTGTTGGGTACATAAGCTCCACTTAACACCTTCATCAAAGCATTTTTGTGCGCCTCTGAATTTTGCAACAGTGATAGAATGTATATCTGAGCTGGGGTTTTGCTCAAATGATCAATGAGGGAGTATTCCCTCGCTTGTACTTTCCTCCAAAGGTCATCTGACCTGTTTCAATGACATGTTGCTTGGTAGTGGCATCCTTACTTGGTCCTCCCAAGTGTTCAGGTGTATAGATTCTTCCAGTCCTGGTCATTCCTTATGCAACATCAGATTCTTTCATCTTTGCCTTTCCTTTTCGATTAGCTTCGACAACGTAATCCCAGGGTATTGCTTTTGAATCGAAAGGAGGTGTGGTTGATACTGTCACTGTGAAAGTTGTGGCCACTTCTACTTCAAATGGAACAGGGGTGGCTGTAGATGGAGCTACCTCTACCTCAAATGGAACCGATGCAGCTACCTCAACCTTGACTGGTGACTGAGTCTGTACTACAAAAGGAGTAAGTGTGACTGCGCGTTTAAAGTCATCGCCTTCTCGAATAAGCCCGATTGACCCCTTAGGATCTCATTCTTCATCCATCCCGATCACATGTATTCCACCGCCCCTATGATTCAGGAGAGGATTATTGCGGATATTGGGTGTAGCTTCTTTCGCATGTATGACCTTGTTGTCAATCAGTGTCTGGATTTTATCATTCAATGTTAGGCACTCGTCAATGATGTGCCCCTTCATACTAGAATGGTATGCACATGTTTTGTTTGGGTTGACCCATTGGGATGAGTTCTCCACTGCCACAGCAGGAATAAGAGTGACGTAACCAGCGGCCTTTAACCTTTCATACAGCTGGTCGATGGGTTCATCAATGGCTGTGTATTGTCTGGGTGGTTTGCGATCAAAATTGGGTCGTGGTCTTGGATAATTTTGGCGAGTTGGAGGAGATTGGAATTGAGATGGTTGAGAATTATAGGTGTGATAGACAATGGTTGGTTGGGGATATCTGGGAGATGAGGGTTGATATGTAGGTGGAGGTGTTTGGTATGTGGGTGGAGGTGTTTGGTATGTGAGTTGAGATTTTAGGCCCTGAGCCACCATTACTGCCTCGACGTCTTTTTTTATCGATATGCCTCCTGATTGTAATACTTTGTTTGTGGCCTGTAGTGCCTCAAAGTTTGTTACCATCCCGCTTTTGATGCCTTCTTCGATCCTTTCACCAAGTTTGATGATATCAGAGAATTTATGGTTTTCAATAACCATCAACCTTTCATAGTATTGCGGATCATGTGCTCTAATGAAGAATTTGTTCATCTGTTCTTCATCCAAAGCTAGCCTGACTTTGGCTGCTTTCGACCTCCAACGAGTAGCATACTCGCGGAAAGTCTCGGTGGGCTTCTTCTTAAGGATTTGAATGTAGAAAACATCTGGTGCATTTTCTGTATTGAACCTGAATCAGTCCATGAAATCAGACGCCATACTCACCTATGGCTTGGCTTTCAACCTGCTACTATCTAGCCTTGGCTTTCAACCGGCTAGACCCACAATTAGCACAAATAGCAAAGAAAGAAGAGAGAGCTTGAATGTATGTGTGTGTATTCTGAACTACTGTTTTTGTTTAGGAGAATCAGAATGAGAGTATATATAGCACTTAGTGAGGTAAGAACAAATAAGGTAAGGATATGTCAGTTCATAAGACAAGGGTAATCGAATAAATCAACCAGTTAATTGGGGATTTAACCAATCAAATCATGCAGAAGAATCTGGGAAAGACCCTTTAGAATAGGGAGAGCCAATCAATGGTACAAATTAGGGCTCAAATAAGGTAAGAGAATCAATCATACCATATAAAACTTCTGAATCAGAATAATAGTCTAATTAAGGAAAATTGTACTAATTAAAGTCACGAATAAGGTAAACAAGAAAATCACAAAGAAATACTAATTTGAACGGGAAAATATGATTCAAATGACTAATAAAATCATCCATGATGATTAATTGACAAAAATAAATAGATAACGGAAGAAAATTTGAAGAAATTAGTGCCATAAACAGAAGTACCTAGGGTTTAAGCATATACATGAAAATCGGCCCAACCAGTAAAGGAATAATCAGGTTTAACACTTGAAAATTAAGAAAAAATCATTTGAAGAGAACTTAGGACAAACCCTAGCTCTGAGAAGTCACTGAAATTGAATAATGATAAGGAAAATAGAAATTTTTTCCGAAGAAAATACCAAATAATGTTCAAAACGTTTCAAATCTACAAAGATCTGAACAGACCCAATTAGCCATGAGATTAGGGTTTTGAATATAACAGATGTGAAAGAGACTTGGTCCAAAGTCATAGATTCGTATTGAAAATAGGAAGAAATAGCAATCACAAACGATAATGGCCATAGGTAGACCTTTGAACGGTCTTTGAACAAAATATGAGTTGGATCCTTTCAAGATCCCTTCATGCAACAAAAGGGTCGAATAACCAGGAGAGGTAAGAGGCCGGTAGGGAATCAAATCACCATGGAATCTCATGGAATAGGTAGGAATCGAAGGGATTTAGGGTAGATTTTAGGTGACGACGCTAGGGTTTGGGCGAGTCTATGAGAGAATAGGGAGACGAGGGATTCAAGGGCGTCGAAAGTGATAAATGAGTCGGGTTAGGGTGTCCTAATGCACCATAATCATTAGGTGAAGACTCTTCAAATTCAAACCCAGTTCCCAAAAGGAATGAGTTGTCCTTCCAAATATCATAAACCCGATTTCGCTCTAGAAAAAGGGAGCGCGTCAGCGTGGCGACTCTGCTGGGGATATTTAGGCTTTTACCATTTCAGACTATTATTGTGG